GCCCGCGACGCAGACAGTTCGGCGATGCCACGTTGCCCCATCGGCCTCCTGGCATCCACAGATAAAAAACATTTCTCCTGTCTCCTTCCCCAGCTGAACATGCCAAGTTTCAGCCGACACAGTCCAGCACGTACCAGCTGGTCGGGACCCCCTTCTCCATCCGCTACGGGACGGGCAGTTTGACGGGGGTCATCGGATCCGACCAAGTAGTCGTGAGTCGCCTTTGGTTTCTGCTCTGGACAACGTGCCTGGAACTTGCCTCCAGCATCCGCACCAACCCCCAGCCTCCTCCTCCTCCCTGCAGATCGAGGGTCTCACCGTGAGCAACCAGCAGTTTGCAGAGAGCATCAGCGAGCCAGGAAAAGCTTTCGTGGATGCCGAGTTCGACGGGATCCTGGGGCTGGCTTACCCCTCGCTGGCCGTGGATGGGGTCACCCCTGTCTTTGATAACATGATGGCACAAAACCTGGTGGAGCTGCCCATATTCTCTGTCTACATGAGCGCGTATGGACACGGCTTTGATCTGGGCTTTTGCTTAGACTCAGGCATTGCTTTAAGAGAGGGGCTGCTAAAATAAGGAGGCTTTACTGAGATGGTAAAGGAGTTTCTTGATACAGTACCAAGCACCACAGAGCTCAGGAATAAAGTGAATTATCTTAAGCATTTGCGGGTATAAATTCACCCGTTTAAAATGCAACGTGCAAAGTAAAAAAGTGGAAATTCCTCACGTCTCTTCCTCCCTTCAGGAACACCGAATCCTCCCTAGGAGGAGAGTTGCTCTTTGGTGGCTTTGACACCTCTCGCTTCACGGGGACCCTGAACTGGGTGCCGGTCACCCAGCAAGGGTACTGGCAGATCCAGGTGGACAAGTGAGTGGTGCTGGGCAGGGAGGGGAGGGTGGGCTGGGGCAGGGGAGCAGGTAAAATCCTTTCTAAAAAAAACTCCAGCATCCAGGTGGGCGGGACAGTGGTTTTCTGCGAGAACAGCTGCCAGGCCATCGTGGACACCGGGACGTCGCTCCTCTCAGGTCCCACCACGGATATAAAAGAAATGCAAAGCTATATCGGTGCCACACTTGTGGATGGGGTGGTAAGAGCGTGGGTGGGGAGAGGAGGGGGGCAAAGCCCTGGGAACCCCGTCCCGCCAGGAGGGACCTGAGCCCCCGGCTCTTTCGCAGTACGCCGTGGAGTGCAGCAACCTCAACTTGATGCCCGACGTGACCTTCACCATTAACGGGCTCCCCTACACGCTCAACGCCCAGGCCTACACCCTCATGGTATGGCTAA